ATCGACGACAGGATGAACGTCCTTGTTGAGATTACGATCGTCAATAGGAGTAAGAACAAGGGGATTGCTTTCGAGCGAATCCAAGGGAAGTGAGTTGCAGTAAAGGGAAGGACTATCGATGGAGAATGCAAGAGGAAACTCATCAGGAGCAATCTGCATCAAGGAGTAGCACATTCCATTGACAACCATAGGGGATAGACATATAAGAAATAGAATGAGTAACATCTCATAACCTCGCATGCTACCATGCGACAATACCATTGTGCATTGATTAATCTAACGATCTAAGAGATGTAAAGTTTGTATTTCCAAATAAGTGAGCAGTTATTGATTATTTTCCAGAATAAGCCTGCTAATTGTAAAGCTGTAAAGCTGAATTGTAAGCTGTATCCCGTCGCATATGCAAAGGATCTTTTGTGGTTGAGAGCCACACTAATACGAATACCCCGTGCACTAACGAATTGTTTTGTCCTACGATGATTGGATCCTTGATGATAGGTAACCGAGAATCCAAGTTTCTTGCGCTTCACAAGGGTAGTGAAAGCTTCTCGAAGACTTACGAAGGAATCAATACGGCTGCTGAAATTCTGCGTATTGGTAAGTGGCTTGGCTGTTTGTCCAAGTCGTTCTTGATTGCTTAACTCACGCATCGTCCCGCAACCTTCACTTGATAATGAATAGAGTTCTTCTTCCTTGAAATCGGAGAGTGGGAAGCTTCTGGGCAGTACCAGGATGAAGTCTATTTGAAGATTGGGGGCACCACCTTGGACCTGACCGGGTTTGACAAAGCCTACATCGAGGGAAATCGAGAGGAATACTTTGAAGGATTCAAGGAAGGTATATCTTGGAATCGGAGAGCTGTCAGTGAGAGCATGGAAAACTTTGGTTTTGGTTCCAACACTGACCAGCTACATCAAGTCTCTGTAGTAAGTGATATCACTTGCACTGTCTCTGGGCATGCCCTCCTCAAAATTATGCTGATCGAGCGTGTTGTCACGACTTTCAAAGACGGTCCCCAAGCAGTACCATACTTTTCCTCGGGTTCCATCACGATTGAATTCGGAGTAGATATGTCGGCGTCGAGGCAAAGCGAGTTCGGAGGAGTTGATGACTTCAAGATCTTTGCCTACGGAGCCGCCTGTGATATCCCAGCAGACGAAAATGGAAATGGTGCCATTGAACGTGATCAGGCTTGCGGCGAACTCGTCATATCGCAAGACTTTGAAGACAATGATGCGAATCATTGGGGAACTATCAAGACCCAGAGTGGACAGAAGTATCTCCGGCTCAACAAGAATGACGACCCAGTTCATGTGCAGCACCCGGGATTCCCAGCTGCGACGGGATACAGCTTACAATTCAGCTTTACAGCTTTACAATTAGCAGGCTTATTCTAGAAAATAATCAATAACTGCTCACTTATTTGGAAATACAAACTTTACATCTCTTAGATCGTTAGATTAATCAATACACAATGGTATTGTCACATGGTAGCATGCGAGGTTCTGAGATGTTACTCAGGTTTCTTATATGTCTATCCCTTATGGTTGTCAATGGATCTCGCTACTCGTTGATGCAGACTGCTCCTGAGTTTCCTCTTGCAGTCTTCCCGTTTCTTCTGTGACTTGTTTCCTTACCTCTTTCCTTTTCTGTTGACGGATGTATCTTCTGCGGTTCCTATCTTGGTTGCTCGAGCATCCCTTGTTCGCTCGTAGTGCAATTCCCTTCTGTGTCCGAGCGCTTCATATCTGTTATGCTGTCTACTTACTGTTTTCTCTTTCCCGGCATTCTTGTTCATTCCGCGATCGCGTACGATCGGTTATGACGATCCGAGTTAACAGAAATCTTCGAAAAATGAGGTTTGACTGCATTAAGGCTCGGCTTGTGTTGCATGCATTGAGTCATGCTTTATTGCCTGATATTATCGGTTTGACTTGCCGGAGTCATGCGTGCCTACTTATTTCTTCGCAAACTCCTCACTTTTTCTAACCTTTTATCGGTTCGATTTGAGTTTGCTTCATCCTCCTTTTTCTTAATCGCGGAGACGACTCCCGATACGTCCGTTATCAGATTCGAACAACAACAAGAGCAAGTCGCTCTGTGTCGTTATCTGTGTTCTTGGGTTACCCAGGACTGGCATTGGTCGTTTCAAGAGCTGGGTTGCAGTTGGTCGTTTGAATCGGCTTTGCCGTTGGTCGTTTGAATGATTCGAAAAATCGAAGGCTTCGCTCGCAGTTGTGTTCGAACTCGAGGATCCGGTTCGTACACTTGATCGGATTCGTAAATGTCTCGAGCAGTTGCTGTTGGTCGTTTGAACGAAGGAAGGCTTGCAGTTTCGCTTGTGGTGGATTAAAACGACGCTTCGCTTGGGGTGGAATTAGCGCAAATGCGACCTGTTCGAAAGCTCATAAATTCCCTCTTCGATTGACTCGATTGACTGGATATCACCGCGCTGCTCTTGTTCTCCACCGCACTGTTTTGTTGGTTTTCACTGCCTCCAATTCCTTCATCTATTATTGATGGACTTTGACGACGCTTCCTCTGCTCCAGCATCTTCATCATCATCAAAACGCAGTCGTCCAGCACCATGCATCCCTTGTTCAGTCATCAGGCTTCGAAGCCTTTCTTTGAATTTGATCCAATCATCACCATTGATCTCAACCACTTGATGCCAGCACCATTGACCGCTGTTCAATTCCAGGAGCTCATCCAGAACATTGGGAAAAACAAAGAGAAGACCAAGCTTACGGAAGCCCCTCGACTTGGAAGTATCAACCACACCGGAGCCTGGACAGAATCTGGCTCAGATGGACTAGGAAAAGAACCTCAAAGCAACCTATTCCTCAGGGGTTTCCTATGGGGATGACGCCATTGAAACATCACACTCGCTCTTATCGATATTGGATGCTCGCGGATTGAAGGCAGTTCCCAGTTCTTCTTTCTTATTTGGATGGTCAATGCTCTGGGTTCCATGTTTTGCCCTCTTCATTGCCTTTGAAAGTTGATGCAGGCTGATGGAGGGGTCTTCGCTTGTTTGTTTGCTTATTCATTAGTTGTTTGCTCTGGGGTTCGGTTTGATGGTTGGCTATGGTCTCCGCGTATAATGGTGGTTGGATTTCTGTTGCTGGGGTTTGTGCACTCTGTTGTATGATTACTTGTGGTCTGTGGGAAAGGGCTGTCTTGACTCTTGATGGATGCACTCAAGGAAGAATTGAAATAATATGTTCCTAGAGCCAAGCACAATGGGCCTCAGCTTCTCTTGGCTTTTCTTCAGAAGATATACAGGCCTTCTCTCAGTAAGATTGAAACACTTAAAGCCAAGCTACTTAACTTGGACATCACTAAGTTCCCTGTGGAGAATTTTTCCATGTATGTTGTCGTTGCAAGCAAGATCATCAAGAGATTCGATTGAACTATATGTCCAGTGATCCCATACCTGAACTAACAGCAACTCTTTGAGGGTTCCTTGGCTGTGGTTGTCTATACTTTCGATCCAAACTCCATGAGTTGTTATCTCGTTCTTTT